CTTTCACGCGTATGTATTATTTGACTTGAAATATGTAAGGATTAATGCCGGTGCTTACTTTTCGTTTAGCTCTCACTTCATTCAAATTAGAAGCTTGGATGCTTTTTTTTTTTTCTCTTTGTGCATTATGTCAGTTGGATTAGTTTGTAATGTAGTGGATGATCGATTTATCTCTCCATTCCTTTGAACTTCGCGAGTGCATTATTGATCATTTTGGGTAAGGATGACCTTCTTCGGCTATGGTTTATAAGAAATTGTCATTATATGTGTTAAGCCAATTACCTTTTTGACCTGATAATTTTTAGTTTGAGCTCATTTGACGTATTAGATTTGTTGAATTGTGAGCAACTTGTTATTGATACTGTACAGATTTGTAGTTGTAAGTTTGTCATTTTAATTTTAAAATTAACGAGACTGCCAACAATTATTTTTATAATTTTTTTAACCGAATTCGACATGTACTCTGATAAACAATATTTACTAATATGATATTTTATAGCATAAATATGTATTTTAATAAAAACAACAAAATATAAGTTAATCTACATATCCCTGTCACACAATTATTATTTTTGTTTAAAAATGGGTTTTATTTCATTTTTGGATGGTAATCATAGATATTAATAATTTGCGTCTCAAAAAGGGACTTTATTTCCACTAAAATTTCTGAAATTTTGAGTTCACTGTATCTCAAGCTCTTTATAATCTCTGTAGTTCATGAATCATCAACATAAAACTCTTAAACCATAACTACTCTACATAACATGAAAATATTATTCTGCTGCAGACAGTCTGCAAAAGACTTGAGAACGGACAATGTACGACATAAGAGCCGACAGGCAGTAAGAAACAAAAAAGGTAGAGAAAAAAAGAGCGGAAAAAAAAAAGAGAAACATGATTATTATAGTACCCACACGATATAATCTCTACGAACTAGCTAAAGGCGAAAGGCTTTATAATTTGATTCTATCCTACTGTACCCCCAAGGGTCCTGCAAAAGTAGATCAAGCATTAGAAAACTGGTCTTTCGTTTAAAAAAATTCCTTCTCAAAAGACTAAAGTGGGTGTTTATATATGCTAGTGCAACTCTGTGGTTTTTTTTGTTGTTAGGCTGTTTCTTTGTTATGTTTGCTCGAGTCCGAAACATCTTTGTGGTCTCCAAAGATACGTTTGCTAAAGTCCGAGACCATCATTGGGAGACCTTTGCGCAATGGCACTTTGGGCTCCCAACCTAATAGATCTTTGGCCTTGGAGATATCGGGCTTCCTCTTGTGTGGGTCGTCCTCTGTGTTGGGCCTGAACTCGATTTTTGCATTTGGATCAATGGTCTCTTGAACAACCTGTGCGCACCACCACAGTTTGTAAGGAAACTAGAAGGCCGTGGGACTACAAATCCCACTACAAAAAATAAAATTGTCATGGAAAAATCAACGTTAATAAATTCCAATGGATATTTCAAAGTTTATAACTTCTGTTGGAATGATTCCAACAGAAATTCCTATAAAAATATTTCACTGGAATAAGTTTTCCATTGGAATTTTAGTTGGAATTTGATGATTCCAATAGTCATTTTCACAACCGGTTATTTACTGTAAGAATTTTATATTAGAATATGTAATTTTTGTTGGAATTTTTATTTCCACTCGTATTTATTTTATTTCAACTATTAGAATTGGAATCGTAAAATTCCTTCGAAAAACTCATTCTAACGGAATATTTTAGTTGAAATTTTCGTAAGAATCTATTAAAAAATTTCAACGAAAATAATAGCTGTGGAAAATCGAAATTCCATCGGAATATAAATCCGTTAGAATTTCATCTTTTTCTAGTAGTCTTACAATTTGAGACATCATAAATCAATACTAATGAGGGTGTAAAATGCGAGAGGGTAACTAGTACAGTAAATCCGAGTACCTGCGCAAGTTCAAGCATGGTAAATTCACCGGGATTTCCAAGATTGAAAGGCCCAATGTGCTCTCCTTCCATTAACCGGATGAGTCCTTCAACCTTCAAAATTTCATAAACTTATATTTAAGAAAGTTGGATCGTTTCGATGTACTTTACGCTGTTGTTAGGTTGTCTAATTATTAGGCAATATACTTCCATTTGTGTTAACCGGTAACAATGGGCTAATAAAATCTCTAAAAAAATATTTGTGCCCAACTAAAGCAAGATAAATTGTATGATATGGTAACTTCAGATATGTTCATCAATCTTGCTAGTCAAGCGACTTCTAAAGCTCACGCACATTAACACATAAAGGTCATAAACGCTAAGATTTTGAAAAGGCTTACCAAATCAGAAACAAACTGAAAACTTCTTGTTTGCTTCCCATCACCATAGACAGTTAACGGCTCCTTCCTCAAAGCCTGCAAAAAACAACCGAAAATTATAAAGTTTTTTTAGCATAAATTACCGATGAAATTTCGTTTTCATCAATCAATAAACATGGAAAAAAAAAAATTGTATATCATTTATCACCTGAGCAACAAAATTGCTTACAACACGACCATCATCAATGCACATACGAGGACCGTACGTGTTGAAAATCCTAGCAATCCTAACCTGCAGATTTCACATTGAAATATACACATTTTTTTTGCCAAAGTAAAAGATGAGTAATTAAGACCAGCTTAGTAGTCATTTTATTATATGATATCAACTAATGGATCCCTCATAAGAAACTTGACTAAAAATACTATTACATCCATCCCATTTGCAATTGGATAAATTTTCAATCCAATTTCACTCACATTTTTTAATATAATTTTTAAATTAAAAATCAGTTATTACATTACAATTAATTATTATTACTTCTATTATGTTATGAACTATTACGTCAGAGTCGGAATTTGTAACTATTAAATCAACTATCTCTGACAGTTACATGGAGATCTAACGATTACACACCCGACGAAATGATTACGTAACGGACTGCAGCATTTTCCTATATATATCGAATCCCTATTCCCACCCTATTTTTTCTTGATTTAGAGACAAAAAAACGTGTTGCATTAAATAAAAAAAAAAAAGAAAAAAAAATAAAAAGTACCTTAATACACAGTTTTGCCTATGGAGTTATTGAATGACTCGGCTTATAGAATCATTCACAATTATTTACAAATAGTGTATTAACACGTGTCCTATAATAAATATACCTTGAACATGTATCAATATATTAATGACTCCATAAAACACAATCTGATAGTTCCATAGAATTTTTGCACTAGACAATTATTCTTGATTTAGGGACAAAAATGTGATGCATAAAATAAAATAAAAAGAATAAAAAAAAAAGTACCTCAACATTAGCACCTCGATGATAGTCCATGGTCAACGTTTCAGCCGTTCTCTTCCCCTCATCATAGCAGCTTCTGACACCTGTCCACATCACACAACACGTGTCATTTTCCTAGCACGACACACACACATTTATTACTTTTCTTTTCAGATTTTTAATTTTAAAACCGCTGACCACATTTATGCCACAAAATCAAGCCGCCTCTTAAAAATGGGCCATCTTACCATCTAAACGGCCCACATATATTTTAATTTAAAAAGTAACAAAATAATTAAATAAATAAAATTGTTATAGACAGAAAGAAGAGAATATCGCGATATTGCGTGGGGCCCATTAGATATATCGGACCGGGAATTGAAAAAACCGGTCGACATCGGGTTGAAAAGCAAGACGAACCGGAACCAAAAAACGTACTACCAACCAACCCACACGTGGCGTGACAAAACAAATGTGAAAAATCGGCAAGCGCATGACATCAGATCGTTTAGAAAGTCATACACGCTCACGCTAGCCACCTCCCCAGTGGCCGCACTAACCTGCGCCGTCCGACAATACGCCGGCGACATCGTCATACACGCTTATTATTATCAACAAAAAAATAAAATAAACGAAGTATGTCGGAAAACATAAATATAAATAATAGTAAGAAAAGTGAACGGAAAAATGACCGGAATACAAACTCACCGATCGGATTAACGTTGCCCCAATAAGTCTCCACCTGCGGGTGCTGTAAGGGATCGCCGTAAACTTCGCTGGTGCTCGTTAGCAAAAACCGCGCACCAACTCTCTTGGCCAGCC